CATTTTTTATTTTTCTCCGATATCCGATCCAGTAATTTAGGTCAGTATCGGACCGATACCGATACGTAATATCGGATCGGTCCATCTCTACTTTATGTACCTATATAGTGAGAACGAAGGCTTTCAGGAGGTCGGATCAGCTGTTTGTTTCCTGGGCTAAACCACATCTTGGCAAGCCCGTTAGAAAACAATGCATTTCCCACTGGATTGTTGAGGCGATCCAATTGGCTTATTCCAGCACGAGTCTGACTTGTCTTCTCTGCCACTCTTGACTTCCTCATACAGCACCACAGTTCTTCTCTTGGCACTCGATCATATGCTTTCTCTTGATACACAAAAACACTGTGTGGCTTCTTCCCAGTTCATCTATACTTCTCCATCAACACTGTCAGAATCCCATCTGTCGTTCCCTTTTTCAGTATTAAGCCATACTGCTTCTCACCAAAGTGCTTTATGCACTTTTTTAAATGCAGAGGCATACACTGCATCATGCACAAACCTATTGCAGTTATTACAATGTTACAGTATTTCAGTCACATAACATTTATTGTAGGGTCTACATTACAATATAAAGCGCCTTGAGGTGACTGTTGTTGTGATTTGGTGCTGTATAAGTAAAGTTGAATTGAATAATTGATTGATAGATTGATAATACTTTATTCATCCCGAGGGAAGTTGGGTTAAGGCTGCCAGCTGTGCCAGCGCCATCTTACCCTTCCGACCATACATACATTACACAAAAATCACATGGGGAATACAGGTCAGAGAGGTATAACAATGGAAAATGCACAACATGAGGAAAGACGAGAAGAAGAAAGAACTCCCCCTATATCAGTGGTTCCCAAACTTTTTTTGCTGGCCCCCCCCCTTAGTTTTCCAAGAAACTAAGCCCCCCCGCAAGCACACGCACAAACACACCCTCCAACCACACACACATATTTTGCTCCATTGCTGTTTATTTCACACCTCAAACATTTAGTAAACAATTAAGCAAATACAAGTAATCTGCAATAAATGACAGGTAGTAATAAAATAAACTACTAACTCTTTTACGCTACGTCCGCACCTACACGGGTATTTTTGAAAACGCAGCTGTTTCGTCCACGTAAACGGCATTTCGAATCACTGAAAACGAAAATTTTTAAAACTCCTTTTTTGCGTTTACGTGTGGACGAGGAATACAGAGTTGGTCACGCAACAGCTGTGCGCCACGTTATTGTTTACAGGAGATGAATTGCAGAATGGCAGATATTCAGATTAACAGTATTTTGTCTCCATCTTGAGGTTTTACAGGCTTACATAAACACGCAGTTACTGTCCCTCTATTTACAAATGCAGAGGCGTCACGGTGGGATTATTTTACATGTAGTTGTTTTCCCCTCTGTAATAATATTCAACATTGCATCAATACATTTTTCAAAAAATGCCTCTCTGTGCAAAATGGGTTCAAAAACATAAACAGCTGTTGGATCCTGTTTGTCCGTGATTTGAACCGGGGGAACAAATCGTGGCAGGATCAGCCTGATGTTATTTGTATCCCACTGTAACTTTACTGTATAAAGAGCAAACATCTCCAACATGTCAGGAGCAGTTAGTCACTACAAGAAGTGTTTGTAAAGTAAAAATCAAGAATATGGGATCCTGTTTGATTTGAAGAGCCCAGCACTGCTCCCGACGAAGGGAAAACCAACCCTGCAGGGAGACCTACCTCGGCACCTGTGCAGGTGAAA